AGGGCTTGGAGCTTCCAGGAAATCTCCACCAATGAAGTAAAGGAAAAATCAATGCCTCTATTATTCTGTGAGCAACAAACCAAACTGAGTTGGGGTCTCAGACAATTCGCTCATATGATTTCAAAGACAGACAGAAACTCCCGATTGGAGAGCGCTCCCCTGAGGGCTCCCAGATTGGAGAAGGTGCAGGTCAGGCTGAGGGACCCTCACACCCCCAGTGCACGAATGTCATGCACCAGGCCTCTAGTGTAATTATAACATTGAAATACAGTGCTTTGAATAGAACACTTTTAAAAGATAGCAACAGAGTCTTAAAAGATAATATGCCCTATTCAGTGTGGCTCAGTTGGTTGGGCTCGTCCAGTGCACCAAAAGGTTGCTGGTTCCATTCCTGGCCAGGGCACATGCCAGGGTTGCAGCTAGATCCCCTGCAGTAGGGGGCATGCAGGAGGCAACTGATGGATGTTACGGTCTCACATTAATGTTTCCTCTCTCTCTCCTTTCTCTCTCTCTCTAAAAAACAATAAACTATTTTTTAAAAAGATAAGCCAATAACTTCAATTTATCTATTTAATACCTGAGTAACAGTGAAATTATATGACTTGCCCAAAGTCACAGAGCCCATTAGTAGTATCCAACAAAGACAGGCACCTAGACCTCCTGATTGAACATCAAGGATTGTTTTCATTACGCTATGTGCTCAGTGATATTAAATCACAGCGAGGCATTTTAAGAAGAATTCCTGTTCACATAAACCAACATTTTAGGAGTCCTTCCCCTGCCATCCTGAGAGACTGAGATACAACATGCAATTTTATCAGAATCATAAAGACTGACACAAGCACAATTCTAAAAAAATGTAAAACTTTCTAAGACAAAATATATAAGCGTGTTCTAGTTCTAAAACATTTTCCAAGACCACAGAAAAAATACTTTTCATAGCTAAATTTTAACCACCCAATCATAATATTCATCTCATTGCTTTGGTAAAATATACACCAAAAGAAAAACCAAGCATATAAAATACAATAAGCAAAAGTCACTCAATTCCAAAAAGCACAAATTCACATCTAAGGGTAAGACACATCTTTTGTACTCACCGTAACTTTACTTCCAACTATCTGCATGCAGTGGTCGATGAAGAGTGGTTATGGTGTAAAACAAAAAACAAAAACAAACAGCAACAGTATTAGTAATTAGCAGCTTTTTACAAAAGTTAAGTGTTTAGTAAATTAGTAAATAGCTAACCCTATGTATGCTTTTAATACTTTAGTTCTACAAACTAAAAAATATATATCAGTATTCATTTCTACCACATTTCAAAAATGAGTAGTCTGTGGAATAAAGTTTCCCCCCAAAAAATTATTACAATTTGAGGTGTGTTTTATTTTAAATGTACTGTGATGGGATTCTCATATAGTGCAATCAAAACACCAAGTAATGCAAGATTAAGTGTAATTAGGCATCAGATATTTTACCAGCCCACAGCTCCTCCAAAACTTATCAATAGAAAATTACTTTTTCCCAAATATTGCTTGTTTTTTTCCTTCCCCTGTTATAACCTTAATGTTGACATAGGGTATTTTAGAATATAAATGTTGCATTCAACATCGTGTACTAAATTAAGAAATGAAAGTTAGGTTGAAAACTGGAATATTTTATATTATTATAAATTTAAAGTTTATAATATTTTGTATTATACTTGAAAATTACAAAGAAGAGAGATTGCTTATGATTTTAGTTTTCTAGGTCATCTTAGCATTTCTAAGATCAGATTTTTCCATATCATATGAAGACAAAGAAGCATTTTATATCTAAACATGCAGATATTAATAAGGAAGGAACAGTTCAAAATTGTAAGTTGGACTGAGCTTTTCCTAATGGATAAAAGATAAGAGAATTTCTGAGAGGCAGAATTGTGTTTTAAAAAGAAGTAAAATCAAATTCTTAAACATAATTTAATGCCAAAATCCAAACATAAATCAAACCACTGTTATCAGAATTCTACACGTGATATCAAGCAATGTCCAAAAAATGCTAACCCACAATCTGAAACCATTAATCTGATAGAAGTTGTTATCAATATGTGTTCTATTTTTCAGCTAGTACTTAAAAAAATCAAATATAATTGAAATTCCAGTAGGAATCCTAAATTGAATAGGATACCACAAGATACAAAACAATAATGACAGTTTCCAAGTAAATAATTTTAGAGGAATCCATGAATCTCCAGAGAGAGAAGCAGCTTTCTTAAATATTCACTCAACAGACTATTTACAGGCAGTGATTATTTAGTTGAATAAAAAAGCCTCTTTGGTGCCATTAACAGTCCTCTGAATTGAAAGATATGCTATTGACCTAAATTATTTCCTCCCTCCAAAAAGACAGAAGTCTTATGTATTTGTCCCTTGTTTATTTAGCACAGACATGAGACTTAAAAATAATGCCAGCCTGTCTTAACAATTAAGGTAGGCTATACCCAGGGAAATGACCAGGGTATGGCCCATGTAATGATTCACTCAGATTGAAAAACGACTGCATTTAGCTGAAGTGAACAGTTAAGATTGGCAGAGGAAAACTAAGAAAAACTGGTTTGGTTATGTTTGGGTTCAGGTGTTTCACCAAATCCAGACCACACCTGGAAAAGAAGACCTGAGAAAGAAAAAATGGCAAGAGCAAAGCCATAATACATGTAGACAAACACACACACACACACACACACACACACACACACACACACAGCTATATGAAACTTTAACTGCTTATTATACAGGTCAATCTAAAAAATCTATAGATGTATATGGTATCACTATTTGAAATGATTTCCTATTGAGATCTTTTTTTTTTCAATGATACCTGTCAAGGGCTCACATGTCTTCAAAAATATAATTTTACATATTTTAAAATATCAACTTTAAAGACTGTGATTTCAGTTAGAAATAAACTTGCTTCTTAATATTCTAATATGGACATTGGCATGTGGTGAGCTAAGGCTAGGATTTCAGTGACTAATTTTTCCTCATAACTGCCAAAATAAGCTCTGATATAACATGCAAGATGCCCTCCAAACCACTGATGTATTCTGCCCTGCTTCAGGATTATGAATTGGCATGACTACATTTGCAATGTTCACAAAGCTTGGTTTTCCAGTTCTGAAAACATATGTTGGTGTTTAAAATATAGACTCTTCCAGTATATTTGCGGCCAAATGACCTATGTGCACCAGCTATCTGAGGTCAGGTCCAGAACTGCGCAGGCTACAATAAGCAAGCCAGCCGGGCTGGTGCAGAGGAAATGCTCTTCTCTGCTCCCTGATTTAAAGTTCATTCATCTCTGACAGTTACTCAAGTTACCTCTTCCTTTAATATTCACACAATGCAACATTCTCTATTGTGGGGCTTGAAAGGGGAAAAACTAAGCAATAGTTTTCATTATTATCTTTTAATTTCTTTATATTCTCTGATTCCATGCTAATTTTAGCCACGTTAATTAAACAATAGTCTCTGGTTTGCTTTAGAAACAGGTTTTGAGCACATACCTATGTACAGTTTCATTTTGCTTTACTGTCCTTACAGGCACCCAGGAGGATGATGGACATTTCCTATTGAGCTCACATGTTGTTTGTGTTCAATGCCATAGAAAATAACTAATGCAGGTGTTAAAGGGGGAAATGCACAATTTATGTCTCAATTTAACTGTAATTCTCACATGTTTTACATGTGACTATAAAACATTTTTCCACCAGGGACTCTAGCCCTTAACTTATTTTTACTTCAAGATGAAAGTTTTGACTACTTATAATTTTCATAAAGAAGTGGTTAGAATCCTGCTTTCTTTACAAGAGAAAACATTTTTAAGCAGTGTATCAATATAATGAAAAAGTAAGCATAACAATGTATAAGATATGCAAGCACGATGGAAAGCTTGGTTACACATAGGTAAACAGCCATAGGTTATCATTTATGGAAATTTTATTGTCATAATCATGAAGAGGTCAAAAGGTAAGAGAATTGTTTGTCACTGAATGGCATTCCTCTCATCTTCATAAAGAAATTACATAAGCAATTTTCTTTGTTTTAACAACAGAAAATACAATACTAATTAATGGTTCCCCAAGGTGAGGGAGCTTTAAAACATGCTTATCAACAGGCTTTCTTTCACCATATTTGCTCCTTGAAAATTATTAGCAAATAAAACGTATAATCTTGGAACTCTAATGAAAGTGCTGGACATGTGTCAGGTGCTCATATGTATGTTGAATGAAACAAAGGTCATATAATAAAGAGTTACAGTACTGACTTTGAGGTGAACGCCTGGCTTAAACACAGAATTTTCAATGTCTTTTGAGAAATATTCAATTTCCATTTTTTGAATAAAGCAATTCAAAAGAGCTCATTGCACATTCCCCAAATTTTAGCATTTTAATCTGAAAAATGAGTGTATGACTTAAATTGTGCATTTCTTTGGTCATTTGAAAAGGAAACAATATGAGAAAAAATGACAAGTTCTACATAGCGACAGAGTGAAAATCAAAAGGTGAAGAAGAGCTTCATATAATCTTCATTATATTCAGCCCCATTTACACAACCAAAACAACAATAAATGAACCAGAAACACTAACGAAATCATCTCATTAAAAATATGGCACGATTATTCATATATTATTATCCGTACTTTGCACTCAGATTTGGTTATATAGATTTACTCCTGTATTTGCCTTTAGGTATTTGAAAAATAACACTGAATGTACACCCTGCATCTTCCTAAAGCATTTTACTGTGAACAATAACTTGAGTGCAAAATGAGAAGAGATTCATCAGAATTTCAAAGTAAAACCCTATGCATCACCTAATTCTATTGAAAACGACGCTCATGGCAAATTTCACTTATCACTCGAAACATATTTCTGCCCTTGGATACCAGAAGCAAATTAAAAAACATGCTGTTGTTCTGCTCTGGCAGAGCTGCAATGCGTTATGTTTAAATAGTTCGGCATTCGGATTTAGCTTGCTTAAAGTATAATATGGAATCAATATGATCGTGGAATTCAGGGCAAAATGCATCAGCAATTGCCACTGCAATTACTATACTGAAATAGCATTAATAGGAGAGCCAAATAATTTTAGAATATACTTTTCCAATGAAGAACGCTTTTCTTCTCTTGTCAGCTTTATAAATTTAAAATATGCATGTAAATGCATATATATATATACACATTATTTATATATACATATATATGTGTTTATATATATATACACATATAATATACATACCATACCTAAAATCGCTGTGTGTTTGTGTGTGTGCATACACACATATATGTAATATATACATACATAGTGATTTTATGATCTCTAAATGAGAAAAGGGTTTTCTTCATAGGTACATAAACAATGCATTTCCCCATTTCAAAAATACTTTTTTTTATAAAAAAAACAACAACACACAACACACTACCCTGGAGACTATTTTTGGAAGCACCTTAAGATGTGAAGAAAGCAACATATTCCATCAAAAAATTGTGTTTTTCCTTCTGATAAGTCTTTGCAAATGAACCCCACTTTCAAATATTTTGAAACTCACACAGATCTTATTAAAGCTCCTACTAAGCAACCTTCTTTATCAAATTAAGCTGTACAATAACAATTACAAGGTAGTTTACATAGTATCATGTAAAATAATGAAGAAACAAAACTGCCTATTAAAAATATTGTTAAAATATTCATGCAGGCAGACCCAGGCATGTAGCATTAATGTAAACTTAGTCAAAGCTTATGATTAGGCTATATTTGTGTCTTCAACCTCAAAATCTAAAATGTTCATGTAACAAACTATATATTAAATGGAAAACCTGCAAATTGTTGTCAGTTTTTAGTAAGCACACAAAACCTCCATCCCAAGACTCACTGGTTTAACTCAGAGCCTTCTATCTTTAGTTTGTCCTGTTTATAATGGAATTCTCTCTAATTTTGAACACTTTTGAAAAAAAACATACATATATATATATATATGTATGCAAGAACTTGAAGATCTGTGGTTTATTTTTAAGCAGATAATGCTAAGCTTACTATGTTGGTGCCAGGAAAGACTCACTACTTACAGATTTGGCTGTAGCAGAAATATACTGGACAACCATCTCGTGCTTGGTGGTAAAGTCTTTGTTTCGTAAAGGAGCTTTTCGTTCTTCATTGAGGTTCATGTCCTCCTGTTAGAAAGAACATTTTGGAGAGCATTAGAAAATTTCTGCTTAAGAGTTTCAAAAGTGATGAATAAATATTAATATTTATTATTTTCTGGATCCTTTGCTATTATTTTCCACTCTAGATACTGTAATCTTATATAAAATCTACCATATATTCATGGCTCATATTTCTACCTAGTCAAATAATGAGCAGAAAGGAACAATTTTAACTATCCCACAGAATAAATTGGCAGTTTATAGCATAGATATACATCATACAGCCTTAGCAAAGCTATTTACTTGCCTCAATAACAAAAATAAATATAATAACTACCAAACACATACTTTATTATTTGCTATATGCTCCCCTAGGATCACTACTATTTAGAGGAGCAAATATGGTCTATAAACTATAAATCTATTATTTATAAATTAATAGTAAATTAAAAGTAATTTATATATTACTTAACATATATATATTACTTAATTTATATATATCTCCTGTTAATTCATAAGAAGTTACTGGATTTGAAAAAACAAAAAAAGAGGTAGAAATATAATTACCTATAATGGGATAACAAAAATCCCTCATTGGAGGGGAAAATGTTCAGTTATAAGAACACATTGTTCGAGGTTCAGTAAATGTTGGTTTGTATGTGGAGAAGTTGAGAATGTGATATGATGCAGCTACTTTGGAAAATAGTCTAGTAGTTCCTCAAAAAGGTACACATAGAGTTATCACATGACCCAGGTTATACCCAAAAGAAATAAAAACATATCCACACCAAAAATGTGTACATGAATGTTCAGTGCAGCATCACCAATGAGTGGAGACAATCCAAATGTCCATCAAGTAAGATGAATGGATAAACAAATGTAATATGTCCATACAAGTGAATGTTATGTAGCCATAAACAGGAATGAAATACTCTTACATGCATGAACCAAGAAATCACATTATGCTAAGTGAAAGAAGCCAGTCACAAAACACACATGTTATATGATTCCATTTATATTAAATGTCCAGAAGAGGCAATTCTATAGAGACAGAAAGTGGATTAGCGGTTGCCAAGGCCCAGGGAGGAGGGGATGGGCAGATTGGGGTATGACTGCTGATGTGTACAGCGTTTCTTTCTCAGGTAATATAAATATTCTAAACACTGTTGTGATAGTTATACAAGTCTCTGAATATACTTAAAAAACACATTGAACACTTTTAGAGGGTAGACTTAATGATATGTAATTGTACCTCAATTTTAATTGATTTTTTATCCTTTTATTCTCTTAGTAATTCTGGCCATTACTGTTTTTTTAATCAAGTAAACTAATGGTCAAAGAAAAATACTGAAGTTACTTAACAGAGAGATATGTGACAACGTGGGAGAAAAAAACCCCACAAAGGATCCATGGAAAGTAATGAAACTACACTTATCTCTTAAATAGTAACTGCAGTGTCAGCCAGAATCTCACGACCTGTATTTGTACCCACTGCAGTGATTGCTATGACAATTCTTATAAATCTAGTGTATATATACATGATTGCTCCTCCTATCACCTTTATCACTGCCTCTACCCCTACATTTCCTGTCTTATCATCTTATTTCTCAATTGTATGTCATACTTGTTAATGACTTACTTGAAGGCAGAACACATTTTTCTTCTCTCTTTCTCTCTCATAGGCTAGATTTAACACAGTTGAATCAAAAATCACAAACACGAAGTCGGATAGCACTTTTTCTGTAGTCCACAGATACTCATCTATGCTCTGTGTCAACTTCAACTAAAAGGGAACTCACTACCTCAGCAGGCCGCCCACCCTAACTTAGGGTATTGTGATTTTTGCTAAGGTTTCCTTTAGACGCCTGGATGTGAAATATGTACTTTCTAATTTGTGAACCACTTATTTACTGGACACATACCATGCACCCGGAGCTTTGCTAGGTCTAGGGGAGTGCAAATTTGAAAGTCTGTTTGTACCCACAAATTAAATGGGTTATTTATTTATGAAGCACTTGGGACAATGCCATCTTTCTTAAATAAAAATAATAACCCATGGTCAAGTTTGGAAAATGGATAAGTTAAGAAATAATTATAATAGAGGAATGTATATGATGCTTGGGAAACAGAGGACAGATGGAATAGTCAGAGAAATCTTCACCAGAATTCAGGTCTTAAAGGATTAGGAAAATCCGAGAGAAGGCAAGGAGATGAGAGTGGTCTGCTGTCATGTGTGGCTGCCCAACAGCATTTGCACATGCCCACTACCTTTATTACACCTCACAGTGTCAGTCCCACCTCACCAAGGAAGAATCTATAGAAACTACATTTTGCCAGTCTCTCTTATAACTAGGGTACAGTCATGTGGCTGAGTTTCCGCCAATGAAAGGCAATTATAGGAGGTGTAGATTCAGAAGTGAACTAAGTAAGGAAGTAGGCCACTAGTAAGTCCTCCATTTTGCTGGTGTGGATGGCAAGAGAGGGGATGTTGTTATGGAATTGACGGCAGCAGCCACATCTTTTGCATCATGACACTTTGATCAAGTGTATTTGGGGTAGCAACAGCTCCTTATTCGGACTGTATTTCAGTTGTGTGGTTCTGGAATTTATTCCTATAATGATATCTGGAGCCTGCTTCTGCAACCTATCTTGTTTAAGAGAGCTAACTAATATATCTTAATAGTATTTTTTTTTCTATTTAAACTAGCCAGAGTTTAGTGGATTCTCTTATATTCCATAATTTGGGCTATTAAAGTAATTCAATTGACTATTGATTCTAGTAAGAGTCTGAACTAAGAGAGATGGCAGTCAGATAGGACAGAGGAAATAAACTCAACAACCATATAAATATGATTTGAAGGCAGCCTTCTCTCCTTCAGGATAAAGTACACCTACGAGCTTCAACTTATCTTTATGTGACAGGGCTTAGCATCCACATTGCTCTCTCTCAAATATTCTGTGGTTTGACAAATACAAGCAAGGACTTCCACCTCCTTCCTCTTGAAATACCATATCTCTATTAATTCAGCATCTGATATTGGCAAGCACATTGTTCTACTGACTCACATTGTGTTTGTTTCCATCAAAACCCCAAGTACTGCTCACATATGCTAGGCCATCTCTCTACTGCCTCAAAACATTCTGGCTAAATTCGTCTCCTGCAATGAGGTTAGCACAAGGCTGCATAGCCCAAGTAAAATCCACTCTGGACACTAACAAGATTGTGTGTTTAGATTTGTGAACTTTACTGCCAGGCCTAAGAGTGTGGTTGTGCCACCGGTGGCAGTCTGTAGGCAGAGAATTTGTTCCCCCCCTTCCAGTGTACCTCCTTTCAAGTTGTAATGGCACACACGGCTAAAATCACGCCATCAGAGTAGAAACATTTTGCATGGAGGTAGGCAGGGCAATAAGAGGAATATGAGATTACAGACCTCAGAGGACTGTTGTCAAGATGAAGCATGATCATGCTCCTCAAGCCCTGTGCACAGGGGTGGGCAAAAGTAGGTTTACAGTTGTGAGTGCTGAAAACAGACTTTATTCTGGTATCATTACTTATTAGTGTATTATTTTCCATATGAACAGCTGTAAACCTACTTTTGCGCCACCCTTTACATTAACTAGCCTTCAAAAATGTTAACTATTAGTGTCAGTATTGCTTCCTCAGTCTCATTTTTTTATACCACATTTGATCTTACCCTTTGTTTTAATAATGCAAGGTTGTTTGTAGTTTTTGCTGCATGCACTATGCTGGTACACCCTTCCATTACTTTACGCATGATGCTGCTCTCTGTGCCTGCAATGTTGCATCTTCACCACCCTCTCCCTCTTTTAACCGCATCTCATCTCATCCCACTCACCCCACCCAGATCCATCTATGAATGACTCACACGTACACTAATTCTTCATATTTACCCCAAATTACCTCATTTAGAAATAACTATCTTCATTCTATTCTTCATATTAATTCTGATATTGCAGCACTTAAATTGAAACTACCTGATAAGTCTATGTCCCTAACCTAAAAGGTAACTGAGGGCAGAAACTGGGTCTTTTATATTTTTGTATTCCCAGCAAAGAGCAGAGCTTCTGGAATGCACTAAGCAGTTAATATTTGTTGATCCAATGTGATATGTAGGAACTTCTCTCTAAATACTTTAATTTGCTTTATAGCCATCAAGATGGTCTATACCTATAACTCTGCTGCATAGGTTGACTGGGAATACATACCATTCAAATGAACAGAAAAGACCATAATAATGACTCATTTTATTTTTATAGAAATAAGAAATATACTACTAATTAGGCAGCTAATACTTCCAATCCATTAACTCTAGCTTTATAATATAATCATAAAACTAAATAGAGCACTCATAATTCAATATTAATTCTAAACAATATAATTAAATATGAAACTACTTCTAAACATACTGAGTTCTGATAGTACTCAAAACACAAAAGTAAACTTTTAGTATGTTTAAGATTTAGTTAGCACTTCTTATAATACATGAGAAGAAATTCGTATTTTGTAGTTTTTTAAAATGTTTGAAGTCTAAGTAATTGACCATTTATATTTTTAAAGCCATACTTGTAAACATTAAACCATTTTTCTCCTTCCACATATGTCATGATGTAATTTTCCCATTATAAGCAAATTCTTTCACTTCTTCAGCAAATACTATATTCTTGAAGTTATCACTAAGAAGCCATATTAGAGTCAACGGAGATTAAAAGTTGAACTAGTTGCCTATTCATTCATTAGTATTCTCATTCATTCATTCATTCTCATTCTCTCATTTTCCCTCTCTCACCCCATATATCTTTAAATAGATGACAATATAATTTTTAAAACTTTCTCCTCATCTTCTAACATCATATTCTAAATCTTCCACTGTTTTTCTGTTTTGCTTTATGAGAGATAAATTACATTTTTATAACTCTTCCTTCCCTGTAAGAGAGCATTGGTACTTGTTCCTTCTTTATATAAATTTCTATATTTTCTATAAATTGTTTCTGCAACATGCCTTGAT